TTCTTTGGGTTCATATCTGTGGTGTGGTGTGAGCAGAATATGAACTAGAGCGTCAAGATGACATCTTGAAAACATGCTACTTAAATTGACTGAAATAGGAGGATATTTCTCCTCAGATGGCTGAAAGCGAGTGCACATTCCAGACAGGACCTGACCTTCACTCAAAACACTGAAATCTGAAACTCGCAATGCATGATGTCTGCTATAGCTGGGTGGAATGTTACAGCATAGGCCTGGACACAAACAGAGAAATCTCTTCTTGGCTTGGTATAACTGTTGTGTTCTCATATGGCCTAACAGATCAAACTTAGAGGGAAACAAAATGAAAGTCTTCTTGACCAAAGGTTGGTCATGCATAAGGACAAACAGAGGTGAGGGAAATTCTGGGGTGAAAGGCTAAGAAGGGTTATAAAGCTATGCTTTGGTTAAAGGTGAGAGGGTTCAGAGAATATGAAGGAGGGCGATGTTTTTCAGAGTGGCTGAAGGGAAAAAGGTTGAGCAAGGAGGTTAGGAGGTGGGAGTAAAGGAGATTAAAGATAGAAGTCAGTCATTGAATTTGAAGAATAAAAATGACCAAGAATATGTATGTTTCAGAAATTCAAAAAATTACCTTTTAGAGTCAGGACAAAGAAACATTTCAGATCCATTCAGCTTCAATAGTAAATAAACCACAGTGCCACCAAAATTCAGGCATTCTCCAGTAATGTCCCTGCCTGGCCTCTTTCCTATGATGTTCCCCTCCAACTCTCCTGCTTTTATGTAAGGTCAGAGGGATAACAGGATAAAGGCTGTCCTCTCTGCTCCTCTGAAGGACAAGCACTCTGCCGATTGGATTTGGTGGCCTTCAAGGACAAAGGAAGAACACTGAGATACAAAGGAAGCAATAGAGGAGGAACAAGATTTCATCTGTCTCTGTGGCCTGAGTGATTGGCAGGAATGGCTAGACCAGCAGTCTTTGAGCGCTACCTCTTTGTGGCTGGGTGCCCTCCATCAGCATTGAATAGCAAGACTAGATCCACCAACAAAAACACACTCAAGGATTCTGGAAGATCTGACCTCTGTGGAATAACAGTCTGGCCAGGGTTGCAGGGGCAGAAAGGTGGCTTAATTCCGCAAAAGTACTTCAGGTGTTGGTTTGTCTATGAGTATATACTGTAAGTCTCTGTGTGCACACAAATCTTGGAACATGAAGATTAATGAGACAACTTAGTAAAGAGAAGGCGGTTGGTTCAATCCTTGAAACAGCAAAAAAAAAAAAAATTGTGGATAAAAGACATAATATGTTCCCAGCTACCATTAAAAGAGACTTAAAGGGGAACTCTAAAGGGGCACAGTAATATGGTATTTTGCATCCATAAAGTTGAGGTACTCAAAGCAAAAGATTTTAAAAAGAATAGGCAAAATTGATGGACCAGAATGAGAGATGTCCTGACCTACAGTCCTGGGGATGGTTAAAGCTCCAGAAACACTCCTACATAATATGACTCAGTAGCATCTTTTGTTAGACCTTCCCTCAATGGCCTTTTAAACATGTCCAATTTGTGTTTCGGGTTTTCTATTAAAAAGTTCGCCAAATTTGTGTTTATCCTGGAAGCACTACCACTCCAACATATCCAGGGTTACATCTCTCAAACTAGAAAGCTCCCTCTGGGTGATTTCTGGGGTAGGACTGGATAAGTCTGACTTCTTCCTACTCCATTCAAACATGTGCTGGGTATAAGCAAACTGATTCTGGATTAGCATTGGTTGGCTGTGTGTAATTATGTGTGTGTGTGTGTTGATGTCATTTGTTCTACATGTTTGAAAGAATCAAATCAAATCAAATCAAATCAAATCAAAATCCCTCCAGTTACACAGAAGATGTTATACAATTGCTTTTACATGCTGAAAATGCTCTGTGACTAGTCAGCTGATCATAAAAGTTGTTTGAGTGCCCCTTTAACTTTCAGTTGATCCAATGAAGCTACTCAGTAGCCAGCAGAACAGAACCACGGTAGTACGGGCAAGGCACTGCTGGGAACAAGCATGGAGCCCAAACAACCTTCAAACACAACAAGCATGGAGCCCAAACAACCTTCAAACACAGAAGTGTTCAGAATGTCTCCAAGGAGCTGTTGTCTCTAAAGGTAGGCACACTCTTCAAGTCTCACTTCTGACAAGAATTTTTCATTAGGAATCATCAATAAATTGCATTACTGTCCGTGCAAATTCTCAGCCATCCAGGTCATAGTAGGCTGAGAAAAGGTAGAAGAAAATCAACAAAACCAAGTCCAGTTGATTTTTTTTCTATGTTTTTTCAGCAAACTGAATTAGTACACTTAGGTAGGGCGCATACAAAGATAACACCAGGGCAGCTGTCATAATGGGCTCTCATCTACTGCCCAACAAAATCCTTAACAATGTTAACAACAGATAGTAATATTTTGTGAAACACTTTTCTACTTTTGTGCAGAACCAACCCAAGAGCACATTACCTGCATGTAGGTAGGCGAGGTCTGGGTTCTCAATGTCAAGGTGATTTTCCTTCAGGTGGTTGCGGAACTCCATGGGAGAGTTGGTGGCGTAGCTACATTTGGGACAGTTGTACATCTTCACGCCCTCATGTTTTCCTGTATGAAGAATGTGCTTCCGGATGTTCTCAGCACAGTTGGATCTAAGGGAAACAAACAAGGATAAACAGCCTCATTCCTTTTTTGGAATAAATAAAAAAGCAACACATAAAAGAACAGAGTCATGAGGAAGGAAACACAAGATACAGTAAATGCTCAGTAATGTTCCCAAGAAAGGTTGTCTGTACGGATTATTTTGTTGCATTGATGACACACAGGCACACATGCGCATGCACACACAGAGACACACACAAGCAAATACTCAAGACTGGCTTAAATGCTGCGGAAGCAGCCATGTTTGGACAGACTTTCAAAGCACTCATTGCCTAACTAGGCCTCAGTGAACCAAGTCCCCAAACAGCAAATGACTAAAAACTGAATTCACACAAACAATATCTAAATCTTGCACATTATTTGATATGCTCTCATATATCTCTTAAAGATTTTCTATTCTTACAGTGGATAAGTTTAGTGTGCAGTGTTGCTGGGAGAAGTAGGTGACGAACGCTGTGAGACTACAAGCCTAGAGGCCTACTGTACCTAATACATTAGTGATATGTCTGATTTGCATTATGTATCTATTGAAAAGGTATAGGTGTACAGTGGTGTATTTTGTGTGTGTGTGTGTGTGTGTGTGTGTGTGGGTGTTGGGGTGAGGGTGAGAGAGTTTGTGGGGCTTTGGCTGGTCAGATAGGGCAGGCCATGCAGTGAGCTACTGCAGGGTGTACGATGTAATGATGTCAGCTCAGAGAGTCACACACAACCTTCTGCTGATTAATGATGCTGCCTGACCTGCGCCCAGGCTCTATCTAAACCTGCCCATGGACACACACAAACACACGTTTTAGTCAAGCCCTGATTTGGCAACAAAAACAGCCACGCACAAACAAACTTACACATATACAGTACATACACATACATGAACAAAGCTTAGTTTGTGCCAAAACAGAAATTATAAATCTCTGATATGACTACATAGGTGCACATACACAGATAAGAATCCATAAACACACACACATGTGCACAAGAGCGCACACATAATGCATCATGTAAGAAAGTATGTGCAGCATGGAACACAGTTTCATACACACACATAAACACACACCATCATGTGCTGATGGATGGGGCACTCGTGCTCAGTTTGGACCTGACATTCTCGGACAGTATAATACGCAATTACTCTCCCTTATCACCTTGGCTGGGACAATAAAGCCTCACAGTGCCATAGCTCACGCCAGCCAAGGAGAGAATTTGTTTTCACTTTTGCAGAGACACCTCTCTCCATCATGGGGCCACAGTCCAGCCCAGCTCCACTGGGGCCTTAAAAAAAAACAAGGCCCCTCAGTGGGTTCTGTTCATGCTGTATGAAATACATAAGCACCAGCCAGTTGTGAACAATGAGGCCTCTTCGCAAAGCCAAACACAAAGCTGGGATGCCACAGTATCAACAAAAGAATAAACAACACTTTTTAAGAGCAGTAACCCACAGCATGTGCAAATACAAAAATGCTAGTGGATCACTGATTGATGTATTTCAACCTGATGAAAGCTTTTGCATAATGCATGGATTTCTGGCTTCTGTGAAAACAAGCAGGAACAAATCTGGGTGTTGAGCACTGACATCCAGAGAGGGTGAACAGTTACAAGTCCGACCACTTTTTTTTTTTTGATTTACAAGTGACATGCAGTATAGAAACAACAGATTTAATATCTAACTCTTAAAAAAGTAACAAAGAGCATGTTAACATTTGCTGCTTAATGTAATGCCTTGTAAGTTTAAATCAATGCCCATTGTATTATTTGGAAAGTTTGAATTTAGAGCATATAAATGACTCAAACTGACTCAGGGAGAATAGATATGCCCATAACCTTTAATATTTACACATATTGTCAATCGCCTATCCAGCAAAAGCCAAACACATTGTTGTGATTACAATCACTAGCAAAACAATAACAGGTTCACAGACAGATCACGGTCACATCTGTTGATTGTTTTTTTTTTTTGCAAAATGAGAAAAAAAAATTTAAGCTGTCACACACTCATGAATAAACGCAAATCATGTAGCTAAAAAAATGCATTTAATGTTAAAAGTGAACTGATTTCTTATTCGAAAGCGGTGCATAAATAGCTAAAATTTGAAGCAGAGCTAAAAGGTTTTAAAGAGAGTGCGGGTGGGTCAGTGAAAGCCTACACTAGCCCTCCTACTATACACTGTATTAATTAGACCAGTACTGTTTCAACTTCAGCCCCCATCCACGCACTCACCATGGGAATCAGCCATACTGGTGTTCAGCGGATACATTACCCCTACTTTGGCTTTTTCCATCTCTCCCCCTCTCTCCCTTTATTTTATCCATTTCCATATTCCTCCTCCCAACAAGTGTATGCTAATGTGAGAGGTGTAATTGAGAGGCGCTTCGTTAGAGAAGATTTAAATGTGTTTCTTTGTGTGTGATGAGGTGGGGGGGGGGGGGGGCTGGTGCTGTGTGGATCTTATTCTGCCAAGGAGGCCCGGTTACCATCATTAATGCCCCCTCCCTCTTCCCTTTCACTTTAAGGTTGCAAACCTTCCTGCCACTGGCGGTAAGCATGTCATCCTTAAAGCCACCATCCCCTTGAACTGAAGCAGTATTTTAACAGGTAGATTGAAACATGAATGCAGCAGCATTCAATAAACAATAATAAGTAAGGATGGTAACATGGCAGGAGTCAGAGGCTACATATCAATTAGGCCGTTTAAGATGCCAGTGTGACTTTAATGAGAAACACTCACACACACACAAACTGCTCATTGTGAACAATACAAATGATTCCTTAACCACTGAAGTAAAGACATTTTGCAGCTTGCATAAATAGCTGGAGAACAGTCAACTAGACACCATTAATTGACAACCCAGGACTCCCAGTGCAATATCATTAGAATATTTTTACCACTATTCCCCAACTATAATTATCTCGCTCTATTATCTATCTTAGTCTGAATAGGGGATGAGTGTCATTTGATAGATCATTCACTCCCTGTTCATTTACATGCATTTGAGGAGCAGCCTTGATGGAGACAACATTTTACCAAGTGGAAACCATAAATGTCATGCATAACATTAATATAGATATTTTAAAAGCACATATCAGATGTGTCCCCTTAAAACAGATACTGTATAAACTTTTTCTATAACATAGAGCTGTCAATTACACACTAGATTCGTCTCAGACCTGTCATTTAGAGCTGTTTCGTATTTGTTTCATAATGCCCAGGTCACAATGAAAGGTCAAAAGCACTAAAACGTCGAGGTGCCCCATTTAGGCCTGTAAGAACTTATCTGACCCGAATCAGAATTGGTATGAAGACATTACATTTCTGAAACTTTGTGCTCTGCTTGTTCAACAGCTGTTTTATAAACTGCTCATACAGTCTGCATTTCTGCATGGATGATTAATGAGTATTGTGGTTGTTGACTTGATGTCCTCTGCTCAGCTGTGTGTGTGTGTGTGTGTGTCTGGGAGTAACTCAGCCCTGCTCATGTACAAACAGTACTAGTCAAAGGAAAAGAAAAATAGAATGGAAGAGCAATGTGAAACAGACCACATCTGTCCTTCAAGTTCTACCGGGTTATGGGTATGTGAAGCTCCAGATTATGGCTCATTAATTTCCCATGATGGAAAAATGCTACTATTGTGGTAGGTCACCAGAAGTGTCAGCGCTTTAAAGCAGGGCCAATGCGAGGCCCCTCACAGCTGTCTAAGGGCCCCATATTCGATTCGTCATCCTCGTATTAGTAAGCCAGCGGGGTGTTTCCCCATCCTCCTCCCATGTTGCTCCCTCTTCCCTCCCCTCTAGACCCCACAGACCCCTGGGGCCACCAAAATGTTAATTGGGATTCTAATTTACTGTTTCATTTGCCACTATCTATAATGATCATTAAGTATCGGTGCAGGAACAATGGGGTCAAGAACATTTGGCTCATCCTATGTATGGTTCCTTTTATGACACTGATGTTAATCCAGTGTTGTGCCTTACTGTGGGACAAAAGGTACCCTCAGATTTAAAAAAAATCTGTCAATTTATATAATTAACTATTAGATACAGTACATCTTCAGTAGTTAGGTCCTTTGATCCAATAAGTTTAATGAGACATCTGGATTCACACTGCCTTCTTCATCCTGTAGTGTGTTTCTCTTTTTTCCTGGGTTCTGAGGTTTAGTGTACTATGACAGCAAACATTTCAATCACTGCAGGAACGGTGGGCAGTTCCAGACTAACAAGACTTGTCCACTGTAGGGGCTTTGTAAAAATGTACTTGGGCACAGTGTTGCTTATATTGTAAGATCAGCATGCTAAGATGTTCACAGTGACAATGGTAACATACTGATGTTTACCAGATGTAATGTTCAACGTGTTTACATCACAGTTTAGCATGTTAACATTTGCTGCTAAGCATTTAGCAGCAATGTACACCTACTTAGTTTAGTGCTTGGTCCTAAACCAAAACATTTTTTAAATTAAATTTTACCTGATTATGGTCCTAGATGAAATGTCAGAGCATCACAAAAGTTATTACATTTTTTCATGGATGTCTGTGCCAAATGTCAAGACAATCCATCAAATAGCTGTCAAGACTAAAAATCGCAAATGTCAGCCTGAAGGTGGCGCTCACGGAAATATCAGGGGATCACATCAACATCAGTAGGATTCATCCTCTAAGAACCACAAATGTCTGTACAAAGTTTTGCGCCAATCAGTCAGGTAGAGTAAGTAAGATATTTCATAGACCCACTATCTCTCAAAAGTGTGTCTAAACTTATGAGTGACAGTGAAAAACTTTGATTCATTTTTGGCATTAGCAAAAAAAAAGTCAGAGGATCACCAGAATCATTGGTATTTGTCCTCTGGATACTATGAACATTTCATAGCAATACAGCCAATAACTGTTGCGATATTTCACAATAAAAACAAACAAACAAACAAACAAAAATCAGTCAACCTGTGGTGGCACTAGAGGAACAGTTATACAATCACCAATGACATTAGGACAGCAGGATGCATCCTCTTGGGACAATCAGTGTTTGAACAAAAAAGTCTGAACTCTTGAAATATTTCAGTCTGCACGAAATAAGTAGAGCGACCACCAATGAACCCAGAATAGTTCATTAAAATGACAAGCATGTAGTTTTTTTTGCCTCGTAGTTTAACCTCAGAGAGCACATATGAAAATACATGATGCAGTCTTCTTTCACAGTTAAAGGGTACCTGTTTAGGCCTAACAATCTTCAAAGTATCTTACATGCATCTTAAATCAGACAGCATTAGTCAGTTAAAAATCCCTACACCAGCTGATCCATAATTAATACAGACAAGAGAGACTTCATGATAACTTTAAGTACAAGGTGAGATCATCTTTTGATAATTTCAAAATAATAGCCTGACTACAATTATTACTTCGCAGCATTTCATTTTTTGTAAATCTGACTGTATACAAAGGACAGATGAAATAAGCTGAGCACTTCACTGCAGCGGAGCAGGTGTAGCCAGCTGCTGAAATGATCTTGTCACAGAGGGGAAAAAAGGAATGAAGAGTACATCTAAAACCAATGATGGGTTTGAGATCATTCCCTTTCACACTCTTCTGCCACAACCTGACGAAGAGGCACATGATGAGAGGAAGACAGAAAGAGAGGCAAGGGGAGGAAGAAAGAGAGAGATGGAGATGTGCAATGCCAGCCAAAACTTTTTCAATTTCACCGACAATTTCCTGTGTAATTACTGATGTGGTATGATGGTGTTTTAATGACAGGGACCTGCCAGTCACAGTGACATTGTGTGCATGTGAGTGAGAAAGAGAGTGTGTGGTGGGGAGATCCGGCTGGGCCTGTTGATGATGGCAGAGTGATGAGATGGAGCTGCGCAGTGGAGAATAGACCTGTGTCCAACCACCAACCCTTCTCTCACACACACAAAGCCTCCAGCATTAACACCAACCCCCTCACCCTACAATGCCACCTGCTATCGCAACATCATACTCGCACACACAGTCTCACGTACACCCCACAACCCCTCCCACCCCTACCCATAAACCCTCTGATCATCAGTACCATGGTGGCGGCCATCAGCGCCACCATGGCACTGATGAAAGTAAAATATAAAGATGGTCTTAGTGCATTTATATGATCAATGAGCCAGTACCTGTAGTCGCACCAGGGGCAGCGGTACGGTTTCTCCCCCGTGTGAACACGCTTGTGCCGCGATAGGTGGGACTGCGTGGTGGAGGCGAAGTTGCAGAGATTGCATCTGAAGGGCCTCTCTCCTGTGGGGTGAAAGGGTTGAAAAGATAAGAGACAGAGAAGGGTGATGAGACTGAGATGACAAAAACACACATCAACATACAAATCTAGAGAGAAGGCTACAACTGCCAGGGTTTGGCTAACATGTGATACAGTTCTGACAGCTTTAAAAGATAAGGCTGCTTAGTTCCTACAGTACATTAACAGTATTTTCAACACTCCCCATACAGAGACCAAAGCCAACGATGATTTGTTGGCTTTAGCTGTTAATGTCTGTCAGCCTGTCTGTCCTGGATTATTTTATTCATCTGTGCCATAGACTTCCACTGTTGTGGCCCAATGGTTCCAAATGGTCACAACTTTTTAGAGCATCGGAAGTTAGCAAGACTCAAGGGCCACTGCACGAGATCTCCGGATATTCTTAACAAATATCAGGTGAGATCTACGGATATTCTTAACAAATATCAAGGTCATGTGTTTCGTAGTGAGGACACATGTTACCCAGTGCAGAGGTGCGTAGTAAGGACACATGTTACCCAGTGCAGAGGTGCGTTTCCCTGATGTGTTTTTAATTGTTTTTGAACAACACGGACTGACAGTCTGACAGAAATAACCATCAGTAGAGGCAAATAATTGTTGGCCTTAGTCTCTGTATGGGGAGTGCTGAAAATACTGTTAATACAGAAAATATCTGGCCCTAGCCTTTAAGTTGTAGTTAATTTTGAAACCAATTAATGAACCATGAATAGCCAAAGCATTTTCTGACACAACGGAACCATTAAAAGTTCAGACTTTGCGCAATATGAAAGCATGCTCGTTTAGTCCTAATACTGCAGGGACAAAAGTGACAAGTTAAATTGTCTAATAAATGTTAATATTTTCATGTGGAATGTGAAAGTTGCAGTTTAAACAAAAGTGAGATCTGCTGAAAGCATTTAAAAATGTCACCTCCAGTTTGAGCCCTGTGGACAGTTATCTGTCAGTTAAGTGCTGCTGTTAAAGATTGTGTTCTCACTGCAGACAATTTGTCTGCAGCACTGGCAGGACTGATGTCTGCAGGTGTAACAGCAAGTCAGAGAACTGAGTCAGTGGCAGAGGATTGTTCTCTCTGGGAGCTTTGTACTTTTAATTATTTTTATTTCAAATGGCAGACCAATGGCAGTGGGGAGGTATTTCACACAACAGTTTCAGGGATGTCAGTGTTTAAAACCTGCAATAAAACCTCTTCACCCTTCTTTAAGGAGCTAATAACCTACAGTGCATTTAATAAGTTTATTAACATGACATTCAATGGACTCTAGACATGCCCCGTGTTTGTTTAATTACTGCTTCAGTGACATTTCCGTTCTGACAAGAATAACATTAGCCATTGACTTCTGTGCATGAAAGGCAAACTTGTTTAAGATAGTAAATGATGGCACAATATTGTCTTTCTATTGTAGGAAACTGGAACCACAAAAAATGTTGGCATTAGCAGTGGCGTTTAAAAATATATATCAGTCAAACCCCGACAAACACATGGTGGTCGCTTCATACAGCAGATTTGAATATGCAGCTAAATCAGTGCAATTGACACACGTCAACACTGGGGAGAAGGACAGAAATGGAAGGTTTCAGGGGGAAATGGAAGAGAAACTGAGGAGTAAGCAAAATAAATTATGAAAATCCAAATGAATATTTATAACAGGATTCTTGATCCTTGGGCGCCTGCCAGACAACGGTTAAGAACAGTATTTGTTTCACTATTCCATTTTCCAAAAAAACACTCGTTATTGACAGCCTATCTGAAAAATGCAATTTCCCTAAGCGACAGAATGACATGGTGAAATGATAACTGAAATTAAAAATCTCAGATTCAGTCAGCCATACTGCTACATATGACTGTCACTGACAGCAGCATGTCACACAGATATGCCTATGTGGGCCTGGATGCATGTGAGTGAAACAGTTGCTATATATATATATTGTATATGTATATGGTGTTCAGTTCTTTAAGTGTCAATCACCATCCCAGATTATGAAGGGCTGTGCATACAACAGTTTGTGTGTTTATTAGTTTGCAACATGAGCTCAGGATGTGTGTGTTGTTGCCTACCTGTATGCTGGCGTCTGTGTTTGGTGAGGGCGTGTTTCGTGCCTCCCGCAAAACCACACAGATCACAGAGGTAAGACTTCTCTCCTATAAGACAGATTGGGAGACGAAGGAAATGAAGGACCAAGCATTAGGGGCATCGACGATGGAGACAAACAATATGAGAGACCAGAACAGAGAAAAGGCTGTAAGATATTGAAAATAAAAATTAAAAAAAAAAAATAAAAACTTTTCAATCTAAATAGTTAAGTTTTATTTTGTTTTACTAGGTAACATTACTTTGCAAGAACTGACATGACCTTCCACTGGTAACATCATTTTAACAGGTGAGAGCAATACAGCAATGGCTAAGAAGAAGAAGCTATTACCTGAATGTGTTTTTGTACACTTAGCTTTCACTATAAGAAGAACAGAGGGGAGATAATAGAAGCTGTTACCTGCTTGAAGTCAGACTTGCTGACACTTGCTAGTTGAAATGATTTTTCACATTCAAGATTTCCAATTTTCACTTAGCTATGCAGCAGAATCCTCAGCTACGGTAAAGGGGAGCAGCTACTACTGCTGGTTTCATGTGAGGCTATACATTTCATGACATTTATCTTGTTTCAGCTGTTCTCCTTTTATATCTCAACTAAATATAGCTGACTGTAATTAATCTCTCACTAATACTTTCTGGATTTCAAAGTTGCAACAACATTAATCAAAAACAAATACAGTGAAATAGAAAAAAAATACAACTTCAAATTTCATGGGGTGCTAACAAGTGAAGGATTATTGAAGTAGATCTGTGAATCCTCTCAGCGGAAAAGTCTGGTGGTGGAGGGACTGGGTGATACACCTTTCACTCAAAACTACTCTCAAGGTGCCACTGAGCAAAATCTACAAGCTCAAGTAAAGGACAAGGAAAAATGAAATATTGCATTAATGGATTGGGAGAAATGTGTAAAAGAGGAGAAAAGCAGAAACCGAGAAAAGACAAGACAGACTGAACAGATGAGCAGCGGGTCTAGTTGGCTAACAGATGAGCCAAGCAGAAGTCACAGATCACTAGTGTATATCCATCAGAGCTCTCACAGCTAACTAATTCCTCCAATCAGATGGATCCGTGTAAATATGTCAAATGGGGGACGGGAAATTGCCAGTGTGGTTTATTGACTGTGATAAAATCTGAAAAGCACCGCTGAACATAATTACATACTTGTCAGAGCCATAAAAATTAGCTTTATTATCAATGGGATGGTTTTGTACAACTTCATTTGGGGGCGATGCCTTCCAGATGGGGCGAGTGGAG